CAACTTTCTCCAAAGCAAAATTAAAGCTGCTGATATTGCCTAGGATACCTTCCCTTTCTGGACAGAAATGAAAAAAGAAATCAAACTCTGTAATGCTTCAAACCTGTGCTCTTTGCCGCCTTCTTTCCCTGAACTGAATCCCATTCTGACAAGGAGGAGACGAATGGTCTAGGGCTCAGTTCAGTGGGCTTTTTATCTACCTCTGATAATCTAATTTGCCCAGCCACATTTGCTGGTATTTTGAAAACAAACACCATTTAAGTGGAATATTTTTTATAGAAACCTGTCCCAAGCATTAATGATTCTTTTAAAAATTTAAACCAATAATAGGGAGGATGACACAAGCTTCAGGATTTCCAGGACTTTGTTTGCAAAACAAAAAGAGCTGCTTATGCACATTTTTCTTCTGAACCTTCTTAATTTCTCAAGTCTTGTTTTAGGAAAAAGGGAGAACAAGAAGGTAATTTGATCAATATACAACAGTGTGGGTGATGGGAGGAACCAAAGGGAATATTAAAATATTTCCTTATTTTGAAAAATATTGCCAAGGACTTTTTTTTACAAATCTATACAATCAAGAAGAAGTACCAGAAGAACTTATTAATCAATATCTGAAGGAAAAAAATTTACCGGAAATTATGGATGAAGAGAAATGCATTTTAAATAATAAAATATCCACAGAAGAAATTAGAAAGGCAATTGGAGCCCAAAAACTAAATAAAACCCCGGGCCCAGATGGAATTTCATCTGAATTCTATAAGGAGTTTCAAGAGTTATTGGAGGAATTAATGACAGACCTATATAATGAAGCCTTGGATAGTGCTAATATTCCAAAGTCATGGACCGAAGCATATATAACCCTTATTCACAAAGAGCAATCAGACCCACAAAAATTTCAAAATTACAGGCCAATATCACTTTTAAATGTAGATTACAAGATTTTGGCCACAATATTGGCGGAAAGATTAAAGAAAATATTAAGTAGGATTATTCATACTGACCAGAATGGGTTTCTGCCATATAGACAAATGAAGACAAATACAAGAATAACTAGGGATGTTTTAGAATTCTACGAAGTACACACAACTAAAACAATGGCACCGATGTTTTTAGACGCTCAGAAGGCTTTTGACAATTTGAATTGGAATTTTCTTATTAAACAATTGACAGGCATGAAATTTGGTGAATTTTTTTTAGGATTCATTAAAACAATATATAATACCCAAACTGCAAAAATATTAATAAATGGGGAAAATACAGATAATATAAGGATAAATAAGGGTGTAAGACAAGGATGCCCCTTGGCTCCCCTACTTTATATATTAGCAGAAGAGACATTACTGGTACAAATCTGACAAAATCGAGAGATCAAGGGGTTAAAAGTTAAAAAAGAGGAGTACAAACTTCAAGCATTTGCTGATGATATGGCATTTATAGTGGAAGATCCCCTGGAAATGACACCCATTTTGATGAAAGAAATAGAACAATATGGAAAGGTGGCAGGGTTAAAAATTAATAAAGAAAAAACAAAAGTGATAACAAAAAACTGTACAAATGAACAAAAGGAAGAACTAACAAAGAGATTAGGGATACAGGTGGTAAACAAAGTAAAATATCTGAGCATATGGCTGACAGCTAGGTGCTCGTCAATTAAAAAAGGATAATTATGATAAATTAACAATTCAAATATTTAAAGACTTAGATAATTGGGCTAAATTACAAATATCTCTATTAGGCCGTATTGCAATAGTAAAAATGAATATTTTGCCAAAATTGTTGTTCTTATTTCAGACGGTGCCAGTCAAGTTGGAAAAAAGCTTTTTTGAAGAACTAAATAAACATATATCCAAATTTATATGGCAGGGGGAAAAACCCAGAATAAAATATAAATTATTACAGGATGATAGAAAGGAGGCTTTGGTCTTCCAGATT